CCATCTGTCTCCCCTGCCAGAAACTGTAGAGACCCACCTCCCTCTTCCTCACTGGCTTTTGAACCCGTTTAAAGCTACCCTGCTGCCCTCTCCCCAGTCCCACGTCTCCTCCTGCCCTCTCATCTCTGCCAGTCCAGGTCCCTCCAAACAGTCATCTCGTTTCTTTGTCTTCATTTCCCCGCCTCAGCCACTCCCGGGTGGACTCTTCTGCCATCAGTCCCCAAAAGGTGCTCTCCCAGAGGGCCAGTGACCTGCATACTGCTGAGCCCAGCAGGCCTCTCGCAGCCCTCGCTTCGCCTGACCTTCAGCAGAATCGGATTTTCTCTTCCAGGCCCCCCCTCTTCCAAGCCGCCACTCCCTCTGGGCTTCTCCCAGCACTGCAGCTACTCCGCCTGCCTTTAAACGTTGGCGTTTCCCAGCTCCAGGCCCTCTTACTATCTTCCTTCCACGGCAGTGGTTTCTGCGAGACGCAGGTGACTCCCCATTCCCAGACTTCTCCACCGACTTCTTTATCTGGCATTTTTTGAAAACCTGAAAGCCATCTGGCAACATGTCCACACTGAGCTCGTGGCCCCTTCCCCCACAACCCTGGTCTGCCTCCAGACTTGCTTATCCAGCCACTTATGTAAGACACAGACCTGGGAGCCGTCCCTCCCTCGCCAACGCGTCGAGTCCTGCCAATCCTCCTGCCCGAGCAGTTCTCAGATCTACCCACTTATTTTCACCTGCAGTATCACCGTCCTCTTTGGCCGCCTCACACCCAGACTCTGCAACAGCCGTCGAAGCTGTCTGCACCTATCGCTGTCGCCTTCCCATCTGTCACCATCCTCGCTGACGCCAAGGTGGTCTCTTTGAAATATAAATCTATGTTGCTTCTTATCTAAAGCACCTCCAAGCCTTCCCATTGCTTGTTAATTAAAAATAGAAGCCTTGACATAGTTAAGTTCACAAGGTTTGGTCCCAACCTTCCTTTCCAGCCTCACTGGGCCCTACGCTGTCCCTGGCTTTTCCTTCTAGCCACACTGGCCTCAGGTCATGCCCTCTTCTGCCTCAGGGCCTTTGCACCCCACTTCTGCATGGAGCACACTTCCTTTCCTTCTGTGTCCAGGAAACGCATTCCTTCCCCCAAGTTTCCCTCCGACACCCATCAAACATCCTCTTTGTCATGTATTTCTCATAAGCAGCAGTGATCACAGCAGAGATCACAGCAGAGATCACAGCACTGATCACAGCAGTGGTCACAGCATTGGCCCTTCTGTTTACTAAGAAATCCCCCTGAGGCCGTGTACTCCAAGAGACGGGAGGACCACACCTGTTTTTATTCACGATTATGTCACCAGCCCCCATCGGGGACACTGGCCCACCCACAGTAAACGCTTATTGACCAAGAGTAATAATGAATTAACGAACGTTACGGTTTAGATGTTGAGTATGTTTAAAATACAATCTTTACTAACAAGTAAAAGAACAGTTTTAGGTTCACAGCAAGATACTGATTTTGTTTTGATTCAGATTAAATTGTTTGGAGTAAATGAGTTGGAGATAATTTCATGCTAGTCAAGATACCCTAGATACAAAAACAAAAAAAGTATTAATCCCTCTCTTGTAGTTAATCTTTTATCTCCCTAGGCAAACGAAAGCAGCCAAGCCCATTATAACCAAGGCCCGTGCCTTTGAGTGGGTTTTAGAAATCAATAAGCCAATGAATGATAAACTCTTGCCTCACATGAGATCACTTTGGGGGAGAGGCTCTTTAGGGAGGAGGGGAGGACCCTATACAACAGGGTCAGACTTAAGGTGAGGTCACCGTGACTGGCTTGTTTTGCAACCCAGTCTCTCCCACTTTTCCCAGACGGAAGCCTTGGCAATGGGCCTGCACAGTCGGGTCACCATCGGGGATAACACCACACTGTCACCAGTGATGTCCATCCTGTTACCCTCTACGTATGGAGAAAAGGCAGCTCTGTTCCTATTTGTCCCACCCCCCTCAACACGTATCTCCCTTTTAAAGGCCCATTCTTGAGAATGCACAACTGTGTTGTGCTGTGCAGGTGGGTAAGGGAGGACTGAAGCAGAGGCCTTGAGGGAGTAGCCCGAAAACTCTAGAAGGTTTAACAGCAGCTTGGATGAAAGGGATCCACGGGTGGAATGCAGTTCTGACAGCAGTCACGGGCCGGGAAGCCCATGGTGGCCCTGGTCAATCTTGCTGAAAATATTTGTGCCACTTACTGTGTTTCTGTCCATCCTACTTGTGGAGCAATGACCAGGGGTTAAGGTTGTGGGGTTTTGCTATGAGGCAGACCAGAGTCTGCCTCTCAGCTCCACCTGGTCCTCATGGAGAAAGACAAGCGAGCAAGAAGCTCATGTCACAAAACGGTTAGACTGTCTTCGGAAAGGACCTGCCCTTGCTCCCGAATGGGCGTGTGTTTTTAGGGGCAAGTGCCTGAGATGTTAAGGATGCAGACACTCCAGAGAAGGCCCCAGATATTAACAGATTCTCAGGCAGACGAGGGAGGCGAGATGCTCAGGAAAGGTAAGAGAGCAAAGCAAAGACTAGCGGTTTTGTGTGTGTGTGGGGGGGGGGAGTTGAATAACATGTGAGGTCATTCATTCGACCCACAAATATTTACTAAGCAACTACTAGGTACAAAGTATTGGGAGAGGTAGCAGGGGTTCAGTAATGAAAAAGACCAACACGGCACTCGCCCTCAAATTGGTTACATCAGAGCCGAGAGGGGAACACGCCGAAGGAGAGGGGGCGCAAGCAGGAGCGCGCAGGGAAGGCACCACACAGACAGGTGACCCCGCCAGGGGCCTGTGCTCACCGGTGTCGAGGTCAGGGAGTCGGGCTGAAGCTCTGGACGGGTACTAGCGAAGCTGGGGCTGTGCTAGTTGTAAAAGTCTGATACCCCCCAGCCCTAGTGTGCTGCACGTGGTGCTCCCGGAGTGCCCAGTTTGGCACGTGTGGTTGGAAATTTGAGAAAGAGGAGCTGAGAGTGATCAAAGGCCACCTCTCCAGGAGGGGCGCCCGGGTTCCCAGTCCCCGCTGGGTCCTGCTGCTCTAAGCTCCCCCAGAGAGCTCTGTGTGTTGCGTGATGCCACACGCACCTGCAGAGCTGTCTCCTCGACGCCCGTCTCCCCTGCCAGACCATGAGCTCCACCGGAGCAGGGCCCACGTCTGTGTTCGTGCACCATGCACCTCCAGGTGCGGGGGACCTCCCTGGCTCGTAGTTATCTCAATACACATTTGCTGAGCGAGTGAACGCGTTTGTGAACGCGCAATGTTGGGTTTTGGGGTCAAGGGCAGGTGCTGACAGAGCGAGGGAAAACCCATGCCCGATGTTGGGGCCCGGAAGTTCGGGAAATTAGTCCTGTGCTAACCCGAACTTTCCCTGGTTTCCTCCTGTGTGAGGAGTGTGTGCGTTCACGTGTGCGCGCGAGTGGCCGCAATCTGACGAGAGCGGGGACTGAGTCATGACATGAGAAAAGCATGAATTCATCTGACGTCTGAACAGCTCCGTAGATTTCGCACGGGCAGAGACCACCTGTTGTAATTCACTCCTAAAGCTCAGCAGGGCTTCTGGCACATAGTGGGCACTCGTGTTGGCTCGTCGAGTGAAATAGGAGGGGAGAGACAGAAAGACGCAGAGGAAAAAAAGAGACACAGAGAAAGAAAAGGGAAAGAATGAACTGGAAAGGAAGGGAGGGAGGCGGAGGGAATTTTACCCTGGCCAGGGGTGTTGTGGACGCACATTCAGCCCGGTTTACCGCTCTCCAAAATGAGCGATAACTTGTGGGATGGCAAACATGGACACGGGAGGCCCGTCCTGAACTCATCACACACACACAGGCCCCTCCGAGCGGCTCCGGCCAGGCCTACGGGGCGCAGAGCCCCCCCAGCTGCGCTGGCCGCACACTCACCTGCAGATGGTGGGACGTGATAACAGGCCTCTCCCCCGGGCACCAGACGTCCTCCTTCATCTGCCTCAGGGCCTGGAAGCATCTCCGGCGGCAGCCCCCATTCTCGTCCAGCTGCTCCAGCAGCACCTGCTCGGCCTGCAGGAAGCTCAGCTGCCAGTGGTAACTGGAGCGGGCCAGCAGGGTAAACCCGAAGGACTGGAAGAGCAGAGAAACGGCGGCCGTGAGGAGAAGGGCCCTCGTCTCCCACGCAGTCCCCTAGCCTGGGGGACCGGCCACGGGGCAGGCAGGGCCCCCGCGTGGGCCACGGGGACGGGCCCTCACGCCGGAGGCCGCGCTCACTTGCTCTCGGGCGGGTCTCTCCAGCTCCAACCTGCACCAGGGTCACCTGCGGGCTTGTTAAAACCCAGGTGGCTGGGCCCCGCCCACCGAGCCTCGGTCAGGAGGCCCAGAGCCGGGCCTGGGCATTTGCATGTCTAACGGGTCCTGGGGTGCTGCTGCGGGTTCTGGGGCCCGCCAACCTAGCGAGGCCTCCGTTTTCCCCGCGCGGCTGGTGGGCAGGCGGCGATGCTGCGGGGGGCGGGCTGGGGCCCTGCCCACGGTACCTTGATGCATTTCACTCTCTCCGGGGAGGGCCAGCGCGTCAGGCACCGAGGCCACTGGGCTTTCTTGGGCCAGGCGGTGGGGATCTCCACTTCGGGGGCCAGCTCTATCTCCACCTGACCTCCGGATGTCTCCATGGCAACGTGGACGGCAATGCTGTTTGTCAGCAGGCTGACCTTTCCTGGGCAGAGATGACGAACAGGCTCAGGGAAAGCAGCGAAGAGGGAGCTTGGGAGCGGTGACTCCGACCAGCTCCTGGCGGCTGGCAGGGCCACTCTCACGGAGTCAATAGCACCCCAAGGTGGGGTGCCTGCGTCACAACTGGACAATCAGCCAAATAAATATCGACAGACGCATTGGTAGAAAAATCTCATGGTTGGTGGGTTTTTCTTTCGTCTCCTCCCTCCCCCAAGGCTGTTACGGTACCTTTTCTTTTAAATCAATGGGTTCTTTTCAGGGGGCTCAACTGCTTAGTGTATGTGCTAGTAAGATGAAATCCAACCACTCTCCTATGTCCTCCTCGTTCGGACCTGGCCACGTGCTCATTGGCCTTTGGTGGTGTTCAGTTTAACCGTCTCCTATCCGAGTTGTAGGCTCTCAGGTGGCATCTGTTCCCACCCCCATTAAGCCAGCCTCCCTCGGCTGCATTATCATCATAGGCCCTCATAATGATAACACATTTCCAAGTAGGCACAGCCACTGGCTTAATGGGCATGTGGAAGCCCTCGCCTCATCACCTTGCAGCCAGGCGGAGAGAGGCAGAGAGAAGAACCCATTTGGTAACGTTTTCCAGCTCATACACCAGAATCCATTTCTGATTTGTTCCCGCTTCTGTTCCCAGCCTTTGCCTGCCCATTTGTTTGCCTTCATCACAGATGGGCGAGCCCTCTAGGACCGGGGGCTGTTATTTTGCTTCTCCTTGCCTGGCAGAGGGAGCAGAGGCTCCCTTGTTGGCTGTGTTAGGCTGTTCCACAGGGAAGCATTCTTCTCGCTGGGGTGTGATAAAGCGCTTTTGTCTGCACCTCCTGGAGCCGCCCAGATAGGAACATGACAGTGTCTACCACTTCAGCGTTATTTACGGAAGGCGCCTCCTCAACCTGGCCCCGAGTGGCTCTCTTATACCCACTCTCCCTGCTGACAGTGTCTCGAGCTGAGCAGGGCAGCGAATGCCGGACCCAGCCTGCCAGGCCCACACCCTGCTCCTGTGGCTGGCTCTGCTCACCTGGGGTGCGACCTCCTGCATGGTACTTAATCTCTCTAAACCTCATTTTTTTGCATCTGTAAAACAGGTAGAAAAATAACTCTTGCTCTGTAGAGATGCTGTATTAAATTAAATAGTCCAGGAAAGCATCCTGTCCATGGTAACAATCCATTAAACATGAGTGATTTCCATCTAGACAGGAAATGTACACAGAAACCCATTTCCTTCTATGTACAAATGGAATCACCTATCATTCAGCACTTTGGTTTTTCTCTCCCTTATCCAGCAAGCGCATTTTCATAACTGTGCACATACCTCCTCCTTTTTGAAGGCTGCATAGTAGTCCCCTGGGCCAATGCAGTCTGCTTGACTCAGTTTTCCTTTGTTGGCCACTTAGGTCCTTTCTAGCTATTTGCTATTACACAGCCTATGACAGTGGGTATCCTTGTGCATATTTTTCTGTGTAGCTGTAGGAATCTATCTCTAGAACTGGAATCACTGAACTGCCCAGTAATCCCATTATAAAAATAAAAGTGGACAAACTGCCCTTTGAAAAAGTAGGCACTAATTTATACTTTGAAGGAGATGTGTTTTACGACACCTATCCCTACTCCGAGCATGATAGGATGTTTTCATCTCTGTCAATCTGTTAGTTGTCTTAATGCACATTTCTCAAAATACATGTTAGATGGGACATTCTTAAAAATGTTTACTAGCCATTTATATTCTTTTTCTGAGTCATGGGTGGTTGTTTTTGTCATTATTTCTATTGGCCTGCTCATATATTTTCTTATTGGTTTTTAAGTACTCCTGTATAACTGAGGAAATTACACATTTTTCCAGTTTCAAATTCACCTTTTCACTCTGGGTGAACAAAATGTGTGTACGTGTGTGTGAGCGCATGCATGGGTGTGTGCATGCGCACGTGTGTGCATATGTGTGTGCATATGTGTGTGCATGCGTGAACGCGTGTGTGTGCACAGATGCCACACTGTACTGCGGCTTCAGATGTTGGGGTTGCTAAACGTAATCACTTCTTTATGGCTTCTGGATTTGGGGTGTTGGTAAAAGTTGGTGGTTTCCAAGTGTGCTCTCAACAAGCTGGGGCACTGGGGTCAGCGGTAGAGTATTGCAGCAGGAATGGGCTAATAACAAAGCTCTGAGGTTTATGAGTAACGTGCTTTTTTTTTGAAAAGAACCCATATTTTTAAGCTAACGCCACGGAAAGGCTGCGTCACCCCAAGCCTGTCATGTCCACGCCAGGGCAGTGAGCTTCTGGAACCCACGGGGGTGTTGGTGTACGAATTCCACTCCCATGTGTGACGGCCAAAGAAAGAGCTGCTTCACTTACGGGGACTGGACAGGTGCAAAGAGCAAGTGATGATCTCAGTTCAGGGGCACGAGCTTCGGGCGACACCCAAGCAGAGGTTTTATTGAGCAAAAGGGAAATGCCCTAAGTTTCCCTTGTGCTTCTCTTGACCCGCTCACCTGACAGGCGACAGGTCTCGATCGCGTTTTCCACCAGTTTCCGGAGCGCCTGGAGGACCTTGGCGGGCACGATGTCCCCCTCGATGTTCACATCTGCCTCGTGCCACTGCCACAGGCTCTTCGTGAACTGCTGCACCTCCAGCCACTGCTGCAGGCCCTCGGGGGCCCGCAGGGGGCAGGGCTGCCGGGCGCCCTGCAGGGTGTAGTACCTCCAGCGGTGCTCCCTGGCCTCCCTGTACCCGGCCAGGCCTCTCACTGGGACCGTGACGAGGAACTGGCTGGGGGCCAGCACCTGGGGGCAGGAGAGGAGGGGGAGGGGGTGTGAGTTCAGACTTGGGAGGTCGCAGGAGACCCCTGCAGCCGGCCTGCTGAGCCGGGCGGCTCCGCTAACCACTCAACCCTCAGCCACGCAGCGAGGCAGACAGGGGGCTGCGCCTGCCCCAGCAAGAGGGCCCATCCTGGGCCTGCCACTAACCCCCGTGATGCTTCGAGCAGGTGAATGAACTCACCGAGCTCTTGGTTTCATGAGTCTGCAAGGAAGAAGAGTGAATGAGACCTGGGACTTTAGGGGGTCCTACTGTTTATAGGGCGTTTTCTCCCAGAAGGAAATTTCCTGGGATCTAGCTCTACCAAAAAATGATGCTATGTTTCCATTCCCAGGCACTGGTCTACTTTTGTCTAATTTAGGTGGCAGCGGAGGTGGGCGGTAGAGGTGGGAGATGCTGTTCTGACATTCCAGGATTCCATCTCGTCTCACAGTTTTCATCCTGAGGTGAATTTCCTGAGATCTGACTCTTTTTCAAGATGCACAAGTGCCAGAATCTTATCGGAGGTCCCTATGCCCACCCACCTTGAAATGCACTGGACTCCAACGGTCTTTTATTCATATACTAACGCTTTTGCTCATTCACTCATTCCACAGAAATTGAGTGTCTGCCGCAGGCCACACCATGCTGGGGGCCGGGAACAGAGCCACCAACAAGCGTGACCCTTACAAACGAGGAATGTAGTCTGATGTGAGAAGGGGGCATGAGTACATATAAGTTTAGCACAAATGAAAGGGGTTCTTATGTGTCATAAGAGAAATCGAGATAAAGGGGCACGGGGATCCAGAATAATCCAGAGCCTCACTTCTCTCCTCCCTAAAGGGAGAGAACCCTAATGTCTCCCACAGGACTGTCTGCAGGTTTGAGTGAGACCATGCCTGTGAGCACAGCTTTGCCCATCGCAGTGTCACATGAACGTGGGC